TCTACTTCCAAAAAAAATTGTTCATCAAATTTAAGAACATAAATCCATAACTCTACTTCCAAAAAATATTTGTTCATCATGTATTTTACCAGAGAATATATGGATACTTTTTTTAAAACGGTTCACGAGGCTAGTTCGGGGCGGGGCATCTCCGCCCCGCCCCACCCCACTACCCAAGACGGGGCGGCCCTCCTTGCCCCGCCCCGCCAACCCGCTCGGGACGATTTTTTTCGCCCCATTCGGGGCGGGGCACCGTCGAGGCGGGGCGGGGCGGTTTTTTTTGCCATCTCTACCCTCACTTCCCTCTACGCAACTCACCCAAGAATCGTCCCTAAATCTAACGATGGTGGCAAGAATTTTGTCCCAAAGTGGGCCACTCGCAACTGCCGACTGTGTGAGAAGCCCACTTTGGGACGAAATTTCGGCCACCATGGTTAGAGTTAAGGGCGGTTCTTAGGTGGGTTACGTAGAGGGCAGCGATGACTTCAAGGTGGTGCATTGGTCCAGTGGTTTAGGTGGCCAGAAAGTGGTGGAATTTCGTCCCAAAGTCGGCCTCTCACACAACACAAAACTGCTGGCTGTGCGAGAGGGCCAAATTAGGACGAAATTTCGGCCACCACCATTTGAGTTAGGGGCAGTTCTTAGGTTGGTTGCGTAGAGGACAGCGAGGGCGTCAAAGTGTACGTTAGTTCGGTGGTTTTGGTGGCCGAAAAATGGTGGAATTTCATCCCAAAGTGGCCATTTCGCACATCACAAAACTGTCGGCTGTGCATTAGGGCCAATTTGGGACGAAATTTCGGCCACCATCGTCTGAGTTAGGGGTGGTTCTTGGGTGGGTTACGTAGAGGGTAGCAAGGGCTTCAAGGTGGTGTGTTGATCAGGTGGTACTGTTGGCCGAAAAATGGTGGAATAAGGTGTGAAAAGTGGTGGTCTGGGTTTGAGTTTGGGGGATTTTAAGTTGAAATTTGCACTTGAAGTCCTCAAACTTCTATGTCCACGTGTTTTGGAGCTTTAGGTTTGAATTAAAACATGATAGTCCTAAAACTAAGTTCAGTGACCCTTTTTGAAACCGCGTGAAATTTCAGTAATCATTTTTGCAAGTTTTGAACATTAGTAGAAGTTTTGTAATTTTCACGTAATTTCATCGACCGTTTGTCAAATTAACCCTATATCTTGAAAATCTATAATAACATTACTGCATTTTTTTCAAGTTTTCAAAGAAAAAATAGTTATAAAATCATAAATACGTCAAATCAATAATGTTTTGTTCGTAGACAAAGAAAGTTATGTTTTTAGGCAAGGTATAGGTTACAATGAAATTTTTGTTAACTTATTTTCCTTTTAGTAATGGTTGTTCATTTTTTTGAGTTGAACTTAAAAAAATGAAAATATTATTTGTCAAAAGGACAAGCTCCTTTTTCTACCTAGGCAAGCCATAGACGACCAACATGGAGTTTATTGTCATTTTCCCACCTAGGCATGAGACGGGATGTTTTCTTCGAGCCTCGAGTCTAGACAAATCTTTTAGAACACTGCTAGCTACTGTCTGATTTCTTCGAGCCTCGAGTCTAAAATGGGGCCCACCCCATGTGTGTATTCTGTATGATTTCTGGTATTTTTTTCTATACATACAGTGCTTCTCTATATATTACATTGCATTTTCATTTATTGCACAATAAAATAGTGGGATGGGCGCAAATAGATCTTGCTGAGCATGCTTAGCCTTTAATTCTTAAAATAAAGCATCTCCGCCCCGCCCCGCCCCACTACCTGAGACGGGGCGACCCTCCTTGCCCCGCCCCGCCAACCCGCTCGGGACGGTTTTTTTCGCCCCATTCGGGGCGGGGCGATTTTTTTTTGCCATCTCTACCCTCACTTCCCTCTACGCAACTCACCCAAGAATCGTCCCTAAATCTAACGATGGTGGCCAGAATTTTGTCTCAAAGTGGGCCACTCGCAACTGCCGACTGTGCGAGAAGCCCACTTTGGGACGAAATTTCGGCCACCGTGGCTAGAGTTAAGGGCGGTTCTTAGGTGGGTTACGTAGAGGGCAGCGATGACTTCAAGGTGGTGCATTGGTCCGGTGGTTTTGGTGGCCGGAAAGTGGTGGAATTTCGTCCCAAAGTCGGCCTCTCACACAACACAAAACTGCTGGCTGTGCGAGAGGGCCAAATTAGGACGAAATTTCGGCCACCACCATTTGAGTTAGGGGCAGTTCTTAGATTGGTTGCGTAGAGGACAGTGAGGGCGTCAAAGTGGTACGTTAGTTCGGTGGTTTTTGGTGGCCGAAAAGTGGTGGAATTTCATCCCAAAGTGGCCATTTCGCACATCACAAAACTGTCGGCTGTGCATTCGGGCCAATTTGGGATTAAATTCCGGCCACCATCGTCTGAGTTAGGGGTGGTTCTTGGGTGGGTTACGTAAAGGGTAGCGATGGCTTCAAGGTGGTGTGTTGATCAGGTGGTACTGCTGGCCGAAAAATGGTGGAATGAGGTGCGAAAAGTGGTGGTCTGGGTTTGAGTTTGGGGGATTTTAAGTTGAAATTTGCACTTGAAGTCCTCAAACTTCTATGTCCACGTGTTTTGAAGCTTTAGGTTTGAATTAAAACATGATAGTCCTAAAACTAAGTTCAGTGACCCTTTTTGAAACCGCGTGAAATTTCAGTGATCATTTCTGCAAGTTTTGAACATTAGTAGAAGTTTTGTAATTTTCACGTAATTTCATCGACTGTTTGTCAAATTAACCCTATATCTTGAAAATCTATAATAACATTACTGCATATTTTTCAAGTTTTCAAAGAAAAAATAGTTATAAAATCATAAATACGTCAAATCAATAATGTTTTGTTCGTAGACAAAGAAAGTTATGTTTTTAGGCAAGATATAGGTTACATTGAAATTTTTGTTAGACTTAATTTCCTTTAAGTTTTAATAATGGTTGCTCATTTTTTTGAGTTGAACTTAAAAAAATGAAAATATTATTTGTCAAAAGGACAAGCTCCTTTTTCTACCTAGGCAAGCCATAGACGACCAACATGGAGTTTATTGTCATTTTCCCACCTAGGCATGAGACCGGATGTTTTCTTCGAGCCTCGAGTCTAGACAAACTTTTTAGAACACTGTTAGCTACTGTCTGATTTCTTCGAGCCTCGAGTCTAAAATGGGGCCCACCCCATGTGTGTATTCTGTATGATTTCTAGTATTTTTTTTCTATACATACAGTGCTTCTCTATATATTACATTGCATTTTCATTTATTGCACAATAAAATAGTGGGATGGGCGCAAATAGATCTTGCTGAGCATGCTTAGCCTTTAATTCTTAAAATAATTTTTTTTTATAAATTCATTTTTAATAATATATTTAATTTTTTATAATTTACTAACATTTTAATTTTTTATTTTAATAATAAAAAAACACTAAAATCACGTGTTATATACCGACCACAATTTATGCCCCTACAGGAAAAGAAAAATGCTTACATGCCGGCCAGTTGAGTCTCATAATGCAGTATATACCTAACCACATCCAATACAAATTACTTTTCATTGGAAAGCTCAACGTTTGCCACAAATAGATATAGATCCTGATTTTTCTTGCCTGTCTCCTTTTTATTTAATTAAAAACATTCACAAAATTCAAGAAGACTTGGCGTGTTCCTGCGTTATATAAGTACAGGCAATTTGGGATTTTGTTTTTATTTTGTGGGTTTGTTAGTGATTTCTGGAAAAATGGAGGGAGTGGATTATCTTGCGGATGAGAGGAAGAAGGCTCAGTTCGATGTGGATGCTATGAAGATTGTATGGGCTGGCTCTCGCCATGCCTTTGAAGTTTCTGATCGAATTTCTAAGCTCGTTGCTGGTGATCCTGTAATTTCGTTTCTTCTTTGTTTTTTCCTTTTTGAATTGATTTTCGATTCTGTAATTTGGCGTGTGTTGGATGATGAGTAGTATTAATTTGGGTTCATGATTCTGATATCAGCGCATAACAACCGATATGAACAATTGTTGGTTTGGGAATATTTCTTTCACTAGCATTGATTTGGCATGATCTGATACTTCTTATGTACTAGATTGAGAGTCTTTTTTGACTTTTTCTATTTTCAGTCGAGGGACAAATATTTGAGCTGAAGTAACTAAAAGTTAATAGTTCCATTAAAGATTTTTAATGTTTTGATCTTTCCCTTTTCACGTGTATAAACAGTGAAGCTTGTTTGATACTCTTGTCGTCTGAGCATTTCAATGTCGAGGGGATTGTGTGAGGCTTTGTTTGGATGCATGGATGTGGAGATTTGGGGATGGACTTGAACATGGAAGTATTATATATGAATTGACTGAGTACCAAATAATTTGGTTGAAATACTTGGAATCTGTAATTTTCAAGAATTTCAAGAAATCTTTAATTAGAAAAGAATGAAGAGTATTTTGGTTAAACAATGTTGTTGGAATTGACCAAGTTTTGAAATGTTTATATCTTAAATAGTACTTGATGAAGCGAGATTATTATTTGGCATGAATGTTGACTTGAACGTGATTTACAATGATATCTAGCGCGAGTGCATTTTTTTCATTTCTTATGCTGTTACTTATCAGTTATCTCAAGGAAGAGCTTTAGAATTTTGATAAAAGGATTCTTTTTATTTTTTTCTTTTATTGGAAGTTTAAATGATAACAATTTTCTATTATGAGATCCAGGCTTTCCGGAAGGACGACAGAACTATGCTCCCAAGAAAAGAATTGTTTAAGAATACTCTTAGGAAGGCAGCTTATGCATGGAAACGAATTATTGAACTTCGTCTATCTGGTAACACTTTACTTAGCTTTTGATTTTTTTCAATTCTTATATACAATTATCTTTCATCTCACTTCATTGTTTTAATTATTGCAGAAGAAGAGGCATCAAAATTAAGGTTTTATGTGGATGAACCTGCTTTTACTGATCTTCATTGGGTAGCTTCTTTTATCTATTGTATAGCTGTCACATTGTTGCCATTCATTTCCACTTGCATAGGCCACATATTGATAACTGTAGTTCAGATTGGATAAACTTAAGTGAGAATGTTCTTGCAATGTGAATCCATATTTTGGAAATAGGAATATTCTCTTATTTGCTGTGTTAAACTACATTTCATTTGAGTTACTTTCTATCTTAGAAAAAATGTATCAAATATATATGTTCTGTTTTCCTATTTTTCCATTTGATTTCTATAAATGTTTGACATATAGGTAAACAAGCACATATTTTGCTTTTTATATGTGGTACCATAAACCATATATCGAAAACAGATCATAATCCAGAACATTTTCGAAAAGGCCTCTTTTTTCAATATTGTTCAGTCCTCAATAAGTTCTTTTAACACTTTCTAGGGCCTTCTCTGATATAAACTGCTCCATCCTTGTGACTCGCTTTTCTGGTGTGTAGGGAATGTTTGTACCTGCCATAAAGGGACAGGGTACTGATGAACAGCAGCAAAAATGGTTGCCCTTGGCCTATAAGATGCAAATAATTGGCTGCTATGCACAAACTGAACTTGGTCACGGCTCCAATGTACAAGGTCTTGAAACCACTGCAACATTTGACCCTAAGACTGATGAATTCATAATTCATAGTCCGACATTGACTTCAAGCAAAGTAAGTAACATGGCCCATAAGAGGTCTGTAATCTTTCATTTTCTTGCTGAAAATTAGGAGAGATCTTTTGTTGCTTCGAATAGGAGTAAAAATTAGATAGCAGAGAATGGTCCATCTGGTGATTGTACTACAGTTATTTTTTTATCTACTTCTGTTTTTATTTTTTATTCGGAGTCAACCATGTATGGTTCAGTATAATTATGATTCCTTGTTTTCTTCATTGATTTTCTTGAATCTGGTCCTTATTCTCTGTCTTATTTCTGAATAGTGGTGGCCTGGTGGACTAGGTAAAGTATCCACCCATGCTGTTGTTTATGCGCGCCTCATTACAGATGGTAAAGACCAAGGAGTTCATGGTAAGAATATAGCCTATATTGACGTTGATATCCAATTTTCTTCTTAGACTTGTTAGTCTAAGTATTCATTCTGTCTAGGCTTTATTGTCCAACTACGGAACTTGGAGGACCATACTCCTCTTCCAGGAATAACCCTTGGTGATATTGGAACAAAATTTGGAAATGGAGCGTACAATACCATGGACAATGGTGTGTTAAGATTTGATCATGTACGTATTCCGAGAGACCACATGTTGATGAGGTACGTTTCCATTAAAGTTTAGTTATTTTGCATTGGCTTAAATTGGTGAATCTCAAGTTTACCATTTCCTCAGAGATTGATATTAATTATTTTTCTATTCAGGATAGTATATGAATATTTACAAACCAGTCCTGTGATGGGGGGATGAGTATTTCGAAGCATATTGTGTATTAGATGTTTATTGTTAAAAACCTTTGTATTTTTTTGCGCAAGTTCCAATTCGATTGCAGGCATGCAAAATGCCAGCGGCGGAGAATTTTGAGACACCTATATTGAAAAAGTTGTTTGTTTGTATGTGAAGGTAGAATTGTATTTTCAGTGGACTCCCTGGACAATTTGCAAGATAAGAATATCTGATAAAAATTGAGAATTCTCATTCCATATTTGTACAAGAAATGCAAGTTCCTTTGTGTACAGAGGAGATGATTCCTGATTGTTAGCTAAATAAAGAAGGTAAACTTCATAGTAGCTGGCCTAGAAAAGGAACCACCATCTAATTTTCTAATGGTTAAAGTAACACTATTAGATTGTTTTTCGTATTTTTGTGTAATTGATGAAGATGAGAATCACTTTGAAAGGCCATGCTATTAGCCAAATTTTAATTCTTCCTTTGATGCCGTGCATGCATTAGTTTGATGTCTTTTTGTATTCATGAGCTACATGAAGATTTAATGGGGTTTTAGGATGTATAACATTATGTGGGACTGCCTCGGTAAAAATATCTAAGTTTGGGAACCAGTATACCAAGAAAATCAGAACGCGGACCTATGTGCTCATATTAAAGAAAGTTTAGGGACTGTAGGTGAATTTTTTCTTCTAATGTAGATATGAAGATAATATATTAAAAATATTATTGTGTTTCTTCTGCCAGCATTGGCAATTACTCCTGCAAGTCTCTTTTACATTTGCTTTCCTCGGTTTTTAATTAAAAAGGTTTTCTATCAGTTAGCAAACAATGTGGAGTCGTTCGATCATTTCAGTGATAACCAAAGTTTAATTTCACTATCCATTTACCATTAACTCATTCATGTGTATTTCATTAGGAAGTATGAATATGTACGACTCAATTTTTTTCATCAACGTTGTAGGGTTTCACAGGTTACAAGGGAAGGAAAATATATGCAATCTGATGTACCCCGGCAGTTGGTCTATGGGACCATGGTATATGTCCGACAAACAATTGTAGCCGACGCTTCATGTGCTTTGTCACGAGCTGTTTGTATTGCTACCAGGTATAGTGCTGTCCGTAGGCAATTTGGATCACAGAATGGTGGACCTGAAACTCAGGTATTCTGGAGTGCTTTTAGATGCCTAAAATTTACTTTTTGAATAGTGTCGACTAGCTAGAAATGTTTCCTTGGCATGCTTCTTTTACTGATAAGGAAAAAGCTTTTTAAACATAATTTTTATATTAAATATATGATTGTTTGGTTCAATTTGTATCATTAATCGGTCTAAAGTCAATTCAAAACCCAATCAAGTCAACGAGTCGTCGTGTCCAACATTAATTCTGCTACGTTCTTAATCATAACCGTATTGAATCTAATACATGCCTCAGCTGAAGTTGTTACAAATGTGATGCACTTGTCCAATTAATAAAAGAAAGCCTGTCAAATTATATGTTTGTGTTGGACACACTTTCCTCTACATGCACTTTGTTACGTCCTTGTTATTCCACATATTCCTCTCATATTTTCCTGGCTAAATTCTCTCTTTTTACCCACATGTGTGACATTTATGTAATAGTCATCACATCACAAATGTGATACCGAGAAGTTTTAGGGACAAGAAGTAGATTTCCCAATTTATTTTCGTGTCTGTTTATAGTCAACGATTAAGTATCCATCATTGCTTAAAAGAACTAGTATATTTCTCATTTGTGCTATATATAATAAATAAATATACAAAATTAAAAGGAAATTTTTTGTCTAATCAGAGTTAAGTCATTTACTCATCAAAGCTCAAAATTATTGTCAATGAACCATGCAATATCTCCTTTATGCATTTGCATGTTGTCATATTTGGGGTCTTTTGCTGCATAATGCTTTTCTTTTGTTTCTCTGCATTTGTTGTACATGATGTACTAACCCCCTTCCCCCATTCGTCATGTATCTAACGTACAAATTCAGGTTCCATTTATACAAAATATCGATAAATAAGGATGCTAAAATGGAGCGTTTACTATTTATATAACCAGAAAATTTGTAGTGTTTAATTATTTAATTCAATAATTGGTAGTCATTTATGTGATTCGATTTTTAGTGAGGGAATACCAACGACTTACTGTAATGTGGACTTTGATGTTTAGTATTATGGTGATTGACAGGACAAGTGTATGGTATGAACTATGAACTGAATGCTTTAAAGTGTTGGTGCTTCATAAATTTGTTCAATGCATGCTTCATGTATTTAACTTTGGTTTATGATTATGCAATGTATAATTATCTTGGAAGTAAACGTAATTATTAATCCCCGTTGGCACCTCTTCGGTTTACAGGTCATTGACTACAAAACTCAGCAAAGTAGGCTCTTCCCTTTGCTAGCTTCTGCTTATGCCTTCAGATTTGTTGGTGAATGGCTAAATTGGCTATACACGGATGTGACCCAGAGACTGCAGGCCAGTGACTTCTCAACATTGCCTGAGGTTCATGCATGCACTGCAGGGTTGAAGTCTCTGACTACTTCTGTCACAGCTGTATGTAATAAAACTTTCTTTAACCCCCCTCCATCAATGTGTGCACACAAATGTGTGGAAGATTGTGCATACCCATGTGCTCTTTAGTAGTTGGAGTGAGGTTATACTGATTAAGGAAAGTTTTGCTTCATTCTGTACAATTTCAAGTTTGACTGGTATAAAGACTGAGTGGTCAGTAAGCGGTGTTAGTTTAGCATGACCGTGTAAAGCTTGTTTTCATCTTTAGAGTTCATGACATAACTTTTGTGATAACCCTCATCATCTGTAGCATATGGGTTTTCCACCAGAAGATTCTTAAGAATTGATCTGTTACTAGTGATTGCGCTTTGCTGCTATGCTTGATTAGTTAGATTTTTCAAAATCTTTGTCATTTCTTTGAGTAAGGAGGTTTTATTGGATTGGTACTGCATGATGAGCCATTTTCCTGTCAAATCTCCGATTCTACATTATCTTCTGATTGATAAAGTTTCACTCTCTAATAATGCTACTAAGTATTTTTATTTCGTTAATTCTATTGATCTGCAAACCATCAGTTTAATATGTGTCTTGTATCTCAATTTTTCTGTAATTTTAGGATGGAATTGAAGAATGTCGAAAATTATGTGGAGGCCATGGTTACCTCTGTAGCAGTGGACTTCCAGAGTTATTTGCAGTTTATGTTCCTGCTTGTACATATGAAGGAGACAACATTGTGCTGCTTCTACAGGTATGCTTTATGATGTATGCTTACATTTTCTTTTTACAATCCATTTCACTTTATCCAAATGATGCTTGTGGACTTTTGTTTTTGCTGTAGATACGAATTTATTTCTGCATATGACCGGAGCTTATTGAACTGTAAATAGTTTTATAGAGATTAAAAAGATACTCTTGTTTGGTAGAGGGAAGTGAAATATATTTAGCATAGTAACCTAAGCCCTGTTTGATCCACATTCTTTAAAAAATCATTTTTCCTTAAAATGATTTTTATTGACACATTCTCTCAATAAAATAATTATACACAATCTCCAAAAAATCACAATTACAAAATCCATTCTCCTTAAAAATGGGCTCAAACAAGCCCTAAGTTTCATTATCTTCTCCTTTTGCATTTGATATGCTCGACTTTTTCCTTCTCTTATTTTCAATTTCCCGTTAAAAATATAAAGTTTCATATGTAATTAAGCCAAAGACTAATATGAGGCTCACGTATATTATGAAAAAACTCTATATTGATGTTTGCAAATATTGCCTGATCCAAATGTTTTTATTGGTGGTTACTCGTGAAAAGAGACCAGTTAGCATAGTGTATTGACTACCTTGTGTTATATTCTTCTTCTGTTTGACATTAGTTACATTTAATCTCAAGCCATATAGTGCACCCTGTCAGCTGGAGGTGACAGTTAGATGGGTCATTTAGTTGGTTGTACATGGCAACTAAATTTGAATATTCATAATTTTTCAATATTTCACTTCATTGTTTATCATTTGAATGTCAACATTTCTTGTATCATGGGGTTGGTGATAAATTATTGAGTTCCTTCTGTAGGTTGCTAGGTTTCTCATGAAGACAGTTTCACAACTGGGAAATGGGAAAAAGCCAGTGGGTACGATAGCTTATATGGGACGAGTTGAACATCTAATGCAATGCCGCTCTGATGCACAAAATGGTACTTGTGTTCTTGAAATTATTTTAAAAAATTACGAGATTCTGTTTTCTTTCAAGTGCATCTCTCCCAACTTATTTATAAGCAATGAGTTGAATATGAGTAGAGTATTAGATGATTCACATGATATGGCTTGTTGATGTTTCCTATTACTGTTGCTCATATAAGCATTTACCTGGCATGCCATGTTTTAATATAATGCTACCCATATAGTAGGCCCCAAAAACCACTCTTTCGAGTTACGATGCATACATAACCTACATACAACTGCAAGATTGATGATTTCTATTTGCCTGATGTCATGCAGCTGTCGACTGGCTAAAGCCTAGCGTAGTATTGGAGGCATTTGAGGCTAGGGCTGCCAGAATGTCTGTTGCTTGTGCTCGAAATCTGAGCAAGTTCACCAATCCAGAAGAAGGTACTTCCATTTGACATGAATGAATTTTTTAGGATCTAATTTTACCCTTGTTAAAATTTAGTATGTCATGTTGTGAACTTAAATGATCCGTTAGTCACCTAAAAATTATGTTTCTGATTGCTTTCTATATGTGTGTTCTTTATAATCAAGAACACATTCTTCTTGAATTTGAATTTTGACTTCTTTAAGGCTTCTAAATATTTTCTAATTTTTCCTCGTTTTTCTTCCACTCAGGTTTTGCTGAGCTATCAGCTGATTTAGTTGAGGCAGCAGTCGCTCACTGCCAATTAATTGTTGTCTCAAAGTAAGTTTTCTTTTGATGCTTCTCTTGCTTACAAAATATAAGAATTCAATATTATTTATTTCTTTACACAACACATGGACGAGTTCCATTTTCTCCAGCCATGCACGTCTTTTTTAAGTTGTCCAACTAAATCTAGCTGGATTAGAAGCACTTTAATCTTTGTTTCTCAAGTTCTTAGAAGTAGCCTTTGAATTTATAACTTGGGACTGCAGTAGTTTTATCACTCTTGACATTTCTGTTCCATACATTTTTTTTTCCTGGATTCCTTAATTTTTTTGGCAAAACTATGTTTGAAGTTATTTCTGCACCTCTCGTTACAACAGCCTTCATTGTGGGACGAATAAGAACCAACTTTTATTTGTCTGTCCATTTCTCTTCAAGGTGGTGAAATAAAGAATGGTTAAAATAGTGTGAATGCCGATCTCTCTTTTTCTTGATATCTGCTTTAGAACATTAAGAAAACATCTGTGTTTTGTAGGTTTATTGAGAAGCTGCAACAAGACATTCCCGGCAAAGGGGTCAAGAAACAATTAGAGGTGCTATGCGGTATTTATTACCTATTCCTCCTTCACAAGTACCAGGGTGATTTCATTGCTACCAGTTGCATAAGCCCTAAGCAGGCTTCACTTGCTAATGATCAGCTCAGAGCCTTATATTCTCAGGTTTGTCATTAAATTTTGTTGTGAGAATTACAGTGTTGGTCCCCAATTTCGAAAATGGAACACTTAATCCCCGATCTTTCAGTTTAGTTGCAGAAGTGGCCCTTGTGGGTGGTTTTCACCCAATTTTCTGCTAGAATGTTAATGAATGTTGAAAAGGCCATTCTTCCATTATTTCCAATAACAAAGATGTGAAAAAAAGAAAACAAGGAAAAATGAAAATAAAAGAAAAGAAAGAATGGAAACCGAACTGCTTCAACTAAACTGAAAGCTTGAGGATTAAAATGCTCCATTTAAAGGTTGGTGCTTGAGTTGCCAGAAGCGCTACTGGCTAGTGACCAACATTACAGATTTCTTTTGTTCGAGTTATGGGATCCTGGAAAATGACTTGTTCTTAATTTTGAACTCGTGATTTGTTTGTTAGGTTCGTCCAAATGCTATAGCTCTTGTTGATGCGTTCAACTATACCGACCATTACCTCGGATCAATTCTTGGGCGTCATGATGGTAATGTATATCCAAAACTCTACGATGCAGCATGGAAGGATCCTCTAAACGAATCGGATATACCTGATGGCTATCACGAATATATCAGGCCTCTGCTTAAGCAACAGCTCCGTGCTGCTAGACTATAGAAATATTTTGACTGGTGTATGCACTAGAACATGTTCTTTTACTCATAAATAGCTCTAGCTTTTACTCTATTCTCATCTATGAGAAATCTTGCAAAATAATGGCAAAAGCGGAGATTCTTGCCCGGATTCGTTCCGTGCCTGTGTAATTGTTTTGTTGTCATAATTATCAAGGTCGAAGTTGGCCCCTTTATTCTAAATTGCTTTTATGTTGGACATTTAAACAGATTGTTATTGATGAGAAGTTTAAAGATATTTATTTTCTCCGACTCTGCATGGCGTGTCGTTGACGGCTTTAACCTCTCCATGTGGGTGACTCCGCATAGCGGTGAAGGGCAGTTCCCGGTTATGGGCTGCCGGGTGACTTACTCACCACATGTCCCAGCCTTTTACAACTCCGCGCCCCGCCGGGTCGCAGGCAGGTTGTGGGGGTGTCGACTAACAATCTGTCCCGCCATTTACAACTCCGTGCCCCGCCGAGTCATGGTCTGGTTTTGGGGTGCAAAAATCAACCCTTTGACTTATTCGAATTTCTTCAAGTGTGCACGTCCTACTACCTTCACATTCGCCATTGATAGCCCGTTGCTAATAACGAGTGTTCTGCCATGCAGGAGCTCAAGTTATATTTGGTGCTCGTTTAAGTTATTTTGTCAAACATAAAAATCACTTTTTATATTAATCAGACTATAT